CGCGTGGAGTGTGAGCCAAATGTGGTGGTGGTCATCAGTCAGGATATTTGTGTTATGTCATGTTTTGTATTGTTTGAATTAATTATGCTTTATTTATGTTTCACTTATTGTCTGTTTACCCTTGATGTTTTAACCTATATTTGCTTCCGCAATCTAGAACTGTATTTCAGAACTTTAGATTATTATTTCAGTATTTCAGGATTTCAAACTAGTATTTCAGTATTTCAGTATTTCAGGGTTTCAGATTTGTATTTTAGTATTTCATATTAGTATTTAGAATTTCAGGATTCCAGACTAGTATTTCAGTATTTCAGGGTTTCAGATTAGTATTTCAATATTTCAGAATTTCATACTAGTATTTAAGTATTTCAGAATTTCAATTTATGCATGCTTAAATCCTGAGATGTTCATGGCGCCTTATTAGGGTAATGAAATATACTCGGTTGCATGCCTAGTAGTTTAAAGATATTAAAGATTAAAAATTTAAAGTTGAGTAGCATCCGACATATTAAAGTTAAAGTAATTTCGAAAAGCTATTAAGTTTTTTCGAAAGGTAAATTTGTGCTTTCTATTTATAGCGCAAAAAATTTACCCAGATTTTAGTAAGTCTAGGCGGGGTGTTGCAACTTTTCTTCTTTCTCAGGAAGTACTAGGTTTGTCTTCCAAGGCTTTAATTTGTTTTTGGATACATATAATGATATACAAAGTCTTCTTTTGGTTCTTCATTATTTCTTCCACCTTTGTTTGTGTATGATGGAATATCCAAGAACTATCTGTTGGACTTTTCCATAACTTTATATTGTCCTTTGTACTTCATGGGTATCTGTGGATGACTTAGAAGAGTCTGAAATATTGTTATAGATTATTATGAATCATCCTTCAATATGATTCATATGATCTCTTCTGTGTGATTTAATAAATTAGTTTGTATCAAGTGAATTGCCCATAGGACATCCATTTGATAGTTCTTTCGTTTTAGACAGAGTCTAGTAGTAATTCTATTTCTCCTACCATAGTTTGCTCAAAATAATGGTCATTCTAGTGGACAACTATTTGTTGGTGTTCTTGTCCGCACTTCTTCACAATTTGAAGATATTATAATGCACACGATGTGGACAATTTTTGCTATTCATTCTTAATTCTTTTTCCTTTCTAAAGTTAATCGTCGTATAGTAAATCATCTAAAAGTTCATAATACAACCTGGGCTCTGATACCATTTTATGCGATGGGGTGCCCTTGGAATAATTTCAAGTACTAGATAGAAAGAAATCAGG